ACTTCCTTACCTCCTAGAAAGAAACGTCACAAACCGGCAGGAGGTGGCCCAGGAAAGAAAAAGAGCTAATGCTTTCATTTCAAATCACTACCTTTTCACCATTTCTTGGCAAAAACATAAATGTTATAAAGCACTGAGGGAACATGTGCTTCACCTTTCATTTAAGATCCTTTGCATTCACCATTTCAAAAGCTCAAGCACGTAATCTTCCTGACATTTTGGAATCTATCACTAACAGTAAGGAAATAGATGCCTTCACAATAAAGACCATTAGACTCTAACCAGTTTATAACGGTAGTTACAATAGCATTTCTCTATCTGCTATGGGCAGGACAGGGCTTTCACTTTTGAAATCTCATAGCTGCCACAGACATCTTTCCTCATGGCAAACTACTATAGGAACCTTTGAACACATTAAATGGTGAACTATAGCCATAGAAGGTCCTTGGTATCTAAAAAACCTTTTTAAAAGTAATTTCAATCCTTAGAGTAGTCAACTACCTCTAATAATGACACAGGGAACAGCATAAATAAATGAAATTAAGACACATGTATAATTTAGGCAGATAGTTTACATACAGATGTATAATTTAACAAACTCATGGGATGACTGTGAGCAAAGACCAAGTCATCTATTCCATGCCTATTCTTGGTCTCTGAATTATGGTGCCTAGCTCTACTCCTTGGCACACTCTAGGCACTTAAAACATCTGCTGATCAGTTAATTTGAAATCTTCACCTCACCAAACAGCACGATATGTAAACAGAGCAGGCTGAGTTTGAGTCAGAGACCTGAGATTTATACTGTCTCTGACTCTTACTAGCCCGGTGACCCTGAGCAGCGCCTGCCTCAGTTTCCTTATCTGTAAAGTGTGAGGTCTGAAGACCCAACAGCCTCTGAAGCCCCTTTCAGCTCGAGATCTATGATCACCTAGGATGCTCCTGACCTCCAACTGGAGGTGCTGCTCAAAGCTCAGTCCCTGTGCCACTTCTCTTATTTTCTTTATATTCTTTGCCTTGGAGATCTCATGCCATCTCAGGTGACTTCAATTACTGCTTCTACACATGCAATGCCCAACACTATCCCCGATTATCCTGAGTTCTAGACCTGTGCATTTCCAATAGCCTGTTGGACATCTCTACTTGGATGTCCCACTAGCACCTCAAAATCATCCCTATGAACACTGAACTTGCCATCTTCCTCCCAAACCCAGTTCTTCTCTCTTTCCCCATTTCTATTAATAGCTGAACTATGTCCCCATTTACCCAGAATTCTCTTTAACTTCTTCCTGGAGCTGGAAGACTACATCTAATCAGTACGCAAATTCTATTGAATCCACACTATGGTCTGCATCCTTCACTTCTTTTAAATTCACACTATTATTTCTTCTCACCTGGACTGTTCTAATAGCCTCTTATTTGATCTTCCTTCCTCCAATCTCTACCCTACACTTATCCATCCATGTCACCCTCTGATGCCTACTGAAAAAACTAAACTCCTTAGGTTGGCATGCAAGTGACCTGATGTTCTGGCCTCAACTCATCCTTTCCAACCTCTCACATTACTCTGCTATACTCCAGGCAAGTGGACCATTAGCTGTTCCCCAAACATATCTCATGCTTATCGGTTCTTCCATGTTTTTGCGTGCATTATCCCCTACACCTGTAATGTCCTTTCTCACCCACATCCACCTATTAAAAGTCTGCCGATCTTGAGGACTAGTTCAAATGTCACCCATTAAGTAAGTCTTCTTTAAATTCCACAAACTAGGTACTACCTCTTCCTTACTGTAAGCCTTTTTAAAAAAATTTTTGTTGGTATTTTTTGTTTTTAAGTCATCTAAATTTCCCCCTATAAACACTTTTCCTCCTCATCCCCAACTCCCTTCCAACAAACCATAACTTATAACAAAAAAATTCCCCTTACATCTTATGGCACTTAGTACCTCTTACTCAGATTATAGCTGTACAAGGTAAAATGTGATAACTGCATATATAATGGTGCCTCAACCCACATTCTCGTACAATAATGTCACGAGTATGTTTAAACCAACTTCACTGGAACCTCACAAAATATCTCCATAATGTCATTTAACCAAATGCTAAAAACTCAAATCAAATGGTCAGCAACTCTCCAAGCTTAAGTTTAAGTCCGAGCAGAGTTTTCCTCCAGGCCTTCTATAACATCATTTGGCTTCCTGTGTTTTCATGGTGCTAATAACGACAAAAGGCAATAGTAATTTGTATATATTATCTTCCCTACTAGAATGTGAACTCCTTGAGAACCAAGACCTCATCAAATTCATCTTTCTATCCCTTGCAGTGCCTCATGTCTAGTACCTTACCCACAGCAGGTGCTCAGTAAGGGAAACTTCTTCTAGCACAGTTTTTTTTTTTTTAATGCATTTAATGGTGATGAAATGGATCTAAGCAAGAGAGTAGTGAAGAATATGGCAATTCTAGACTACAGTCCTAAAAAGCCACTACTCATTATTCTGCTGTTGTACTAAATGAACTGAATTGCACTGTATCTACAGCCTGAAAAAAGTTGGTTTTTTTTTTTAGTGATATGCATCTGAAGATAGTTCTTTACACATATCTGGAAAACACACACTATACAAAAAAAAAAAAAAACCACCTGTGTTCCCTCTATTGAGGCAACTTTAAAAATGCAGAGACGGGTAAAGAAGGCCGATGCCATGATGCCATAACTAGGATATTCACATTCCCAACTGAATTACACAGGTTAGGATTCCTTGCTGGGAATTTTTACTTTGTTCATAGGGATCATAGAATTTAGAGCTGAAAGCAACTTAAGAGACCAATTAGTCTGACACATTCATTTTCCAAATGAGGGAAGTTGAGGCCCAGAAACATAAAAATGACTTAAGGTCACACAGGTAAGCAGTGCATTGACCCACATCCAGTACTTCCCAATACACCACAGTGCCTCAGATATGAGAGAGCCGGGCACTGCCAAAACTTACGTGCCTCATCTGTACCTGAGACAGCAACTGGATAAAGAGAAGCTTTAGAAGAGAAGAATTTTAGAAAATGAGACTTTTTTTCCCTTTAACCAAAGAGGAAAGGAGCTTTTACGTAAAGATGGCTTTGATCAAGAGCCTTTTGTCTCTGAAAATTCCAAATGATTTACAACGTGAATTTGTTAGTTTAGTGTAGTTTATAACTGGCATCCTTGAAAGACTTTATCAAGGGTAAGAAAAGGAATAAATTAGTTAATACATATCTAGATCACACGGGATATTTCTTTGGTATCCTGCACATGTCTTATCCCAACTTGTATGTAAGTTTCTCAAGGTCAGGGAAATGTATATCTTTCAATATCCCACAATGCTCAGTCATGGTTCTGTGTACTCTGTAGGTAATCAAATATTTCTTTATTAAAGTACTTTTAATAAATCAAAATATTGGGGATAATTAAAAACTCTGCCACAAAGTATAACTATTTTGAATATTTTTACATTTGTTACGTTGCGGGGGAGAAAACTTATCCAATGACACAATGCAGGGGCACATAAGCTATATTATAACCAGCTTCAGACTGTGTTCTAACTGTATAAAGTCTTTGCCCAGACACCAACTATAACACCATGGACCATGTGTGATAAAAATATTTATGATGATGAAGTGATTAATGAAACAGCCATTTTTAGGACTGAAAATATATTCATGTGCCAAGTAGAGGGCAAAGTACCCACTATGGAGTCAGAGGACATTAGTGAAGTGTACTATCTATGTGACCTTGGACAAATCACTTACCGCCTCAGTTTCCTCATCTATAAAATGAGGACTGAACTAGATGACTATTTGGTCCCTTCTACTTCCAGATCTGTGATCCAATGATTTATGAGACCAAGTAGTAGGATAGAGAAACAATGTACAAAAATATGTTTCATGATAAAAATGGAATCGAGATAAACATCTGGCATCCTTTCTTCCATGAATATAAGATTCAATAAACACAATGCCTTTCACTTGCAGGGGCAAGTTAGGTGGAAAGAGTAGGATAGGAACAAGTCCCAGCTCATTAATCAAGGGAACTACTGAAGAAGGAAACTCCCTTCATTGATGCAGGTTGGCATTTTCTTGGAAACTGACAGTCATAAAAAGGTGTCTCAAACCCAGAGAGGTTGCCTGACTTACCCAGGACCACCCAGCCTATGTATGTCAGTGTCAGGACTTGAACCCAAGTCTTCCTGGCTCAAAGGCCAGCTCTCTATCCAAATTCATCCCTCAGGAGGAGAAAATAAGGTAAAAAAAATGAGAATATAACACTTTATACTATGTAAAACAGAGGAATTTTGGCTAGAGGATGGTGATGAACTTGGGAGGCAGTAAGATTTGGCTTCCAATCCCAAGTCCAATTCCTACTACCTATGTGACCATGTTAACCTCTCAGAGCCGACATACATAACTGTAAATTGGGGATATCAGTAGTACCTCAGAGGATTGTGGTGAGGATCAAACCTTAAAAATGCTATCTTACTAGCCTAATTTCTATTGATTAAAGTGTTTAATTTACTCAGTTTTGTATCAAACTAATAAAGCAGTCTTTCTAAAAATTTTCAACGATATTTACACTTGATATAAATCCCCCAAATTGTCAGTCATTACAGTTACCTGTCTCTTGCTGGAAAGAAAGAATTCCAATTAACAGATTTAACAGGGCCCAAAAATCTTAAGTCATAAAGTGAAAATAATGACATTTAAACACCACTTAAAGTTATCATTAAGAGTATATTAGAGCAATAAGCACAAATGCGGAAACATGCCTGTATGTAGTTGTCAAGATCCCTAAGACTCAGGCATGTTTTCCTCATGTTTTGAAAGTCTTAAAAACAAGCTGATGTAATTTACCTATTGTCAACCTAAAATAAGTTAACACGACCATATAAAATTAATCATCATTTTTTTACTTAAGACCAAAAAGCTAAGCATTAACATTATATTTATATTTAACATTAAGCAAATATACTTACATCTTTTGCCATGTTACCAGATCCTTGAAATCAATTCTTTAGATGTTCACTCTCCAGAGAAGAAACAATAATCTTCTAGTAAATAAAAGGGCAAAAGAAGACACAATTTAGTGAAAGATAATGGTCGGCAAAACATTGTATCTTAAGTCTAAACTGATACATTTCTCCCTGAAAAGTCAATGCACTCCCTCCAAAGCAAAATGCACTTTGGGATATCAGGAACCTCCTCCCCCTTCCCTATGCATACAAGTATTCAATCCTGAAAGGAATCTACAAAAGCAACTGGGCTACTTCTTTTAAAAATAATTTAGGGGACTAATGACATGTAACAGACAAATGTTAGCGTCTTATACAAACAGCATATACAAACTCTTATTCCCCTAAACTACTAACAATAAATACCTCAAGCTTACCCCACTCCAAACTACTGACACAGTGTAATAAATATAACCATTTCTACAGATATCCAGAACAAGATTATGATGCACATAAGACCCCTCCCAGGAGAGGATATGATGGATAAAAGTAAACCCTCTAACCCTTACCCATGCACATACATGCCAACCTATATCCCATACATATGCATCCAGAATGGGCTCAATCCATCTTTATACTGCCAGCACAAAAATGCACAAGATAGATATGTAATTCCTCTAGCCCCCTCTCCAAAAAAAAACAACACTGAAAGGTGGAAGGGAGGATTGGGGGGACATTGCCCCTATTCTAGTCACAGTTGCCAGCTCCACTGGCCCAGCCCTGAGCATGCTGTTAACTCTGACAGGTGTGTTTCTCCAAGGGAGCTCTAGGGTTAAAGTAACTGCTCCAGGCCACAAAGCAGGACCCAGTCCAGGATCCACTCCACAAGCTCCATGTCTATCTGGGATCTAGATCTTCCTGACCTGTCACTAGGCCTCGGGAACTGCAGCCCAAGGAGGGAGAGCTCCCCCCACCCCCCACCCCCAGCACCGGAACTCGGCAGTGAGCTCTCCACCCTACTGCGCTATTTCAGCACCCAGGCTGGTGGAGGGGCTGCCCCCAGCCCCCTACCCTCCCGGGGTGTCCCGCAGGGAGCTGGCTGGAGCAGGCCGGAGCAGCTCCAGGCCGTTGGGGCTCAGGGAGCTGGTGGCGCGTCCCAGGCCCCATGGACAGACACAAGCAGCAGCTGCAGCTGCAGCTCAGCCGCCCGCCCGCCCGCCTGCCCGGCCTCGCCGGCCTGTGCCTCCCCCCCTCCCCAGCCCTCCTCTCCAGACCCGGGCACCACCCTGGCAACAGGCGCCATCCTGACCCTCCCCCGTCGGACCCCGCTCCCCAAAGGAGGCACAGCGATGCTGATGGGGTGATGGGGGGGGCTGGAAAGCGGCCTACCACCCCGCCACCAGCTGGGGATTCCCCCCCACCTTCCTACGTCCCATCCCAGGGACCCTTCCCCTTCTGCAAAGGCAGAAAAAAGGGGTGAGCACCCCAGAACCTCGGGCCACGCTGGCCCCTTCTCGTCTTCCCCCTCCTCCCTGGAACCCCACATCTCAAGCCGGGGGTCAATTCACCTGAAGGCGTCTTCCTCCCCTCCGTGCCCTCCCCCCCAAGCCAGGCCAGGAGCGCAGCGGAGCCCCGGAGCCCACCACCAACAGCAGCGGCTACAATGAAGAGGAGCAGCAGCGTGGGGTGGGGGGGTGGGGGGTATGAGGATGGGAAAGGGGGGGAAGGCAAGGTTTACCCACTGCACATGTGCAACACATACACACACACACACACACACACACACACACACACACACACACAGCACCAGGAAAAGAGACCCGAGGAGACACCAAGCTGTGTGCACGGCGCCCACACACAGGCGAGGCAAGGCGGGGGGCAGGGCAGAGGGGGGCCCGCCCAGGGGACCAGACCGGCCGCACGGGTTCCCCATCCCCCGCGGCTGGCCCTGCTGGCCAGCCTCCGCTCCCTGACCGCCCCCCCCATCCCCGGCCGGCACTAACTCTCCAACTAACCCCCCACACATTCAAGTCTCCAGCTGACCTCCACCATCCCCCAGCTCCATCCTTCCCGGGCTCCAGAAGGACCCCCCGCCATCCTTCCGCATGTGGCTCCAAACCTAGCTGCATCCTTGCACCCCAACCCCCATCCCAGGCTGCAAGCCCCCCCCATCAAGGGCCCCGCGTGGACGTGCACAAGCGCCCCCAGCCCGCGAGGCCGGCTCCGTGCCCCACACCTGGCTCGCCCGGGTCCTGGCGCCCGCGCCGCGGGGGGGAAGGCGGGTTGGAGGTGGGGGGAAGGTGGAGATGGGGAGCGGGGCAGCTCGCGGCCCCGCCGCTGCAGCCCCCGCGCACCCAAGCAGGGGAGAGATCACGGGGGAGGGGAGTAGATCCCGGCAGCTCGGGGGCCGGACTCGCTTTCCCCCGATCCCCCCCTCCCCCCCCAACTTCACTCCCACTCCTCCCCACAATATTGGGAGAGTTGGCCAAAGGGGGGATAAAAAAAAATTGAAACTTACACTTTGTACTGGGAGCGTCAAGCCGGCGTGACGTGCCGGCAACGCGGTGACGTGCGGCCACGAGCGGCCCCATAGAGACTGGCCCAAAGTGTCAGTTTCACCCCCGCGCGCTCCGCCTCGGGGAGCCGGGCGCGCCTGCGCGGCTTTTTCGCGCCTTTGGCTCGCTCCCTCCCTCGCTCCCGCCAGTTCTGCTCCGCCCCCGCGCTGGGCTCCCGCGGAGGACTCGGTGTGCGTGCTTGCATGTGTTGGTGTGTCTGAGTCTGCCTGGGAGAGAGCCGAGAGCGCGGGAAGCGCGCGGCGCGAAAACGTCAAAGTGGGAAAATTGAGCCCGCCCGTGTGTCCTACCAGGTGGTGTGCTTAGGAAAAAAGAAGAAAAAAGGAAAAAAAAAGGCCAGATTGAGCTCCGGCTCAGCAGGGTGCCCCGACGGACGTCCCCGCCACCTGCGTGCAGAGAGCCGCAGAGCGTGCCCCGCGGCCTGCTCCCACGCCTGTCCCCCACGGCCTGCGCGCCACCTCCATTCCAAACAATTCCATGCATCCCCAAGTGCCCGCCTTTGCTGGCCGCAATGAGGTCATCCGGAAAGGAGGTGCGAGGAGAGCTGCAGGCCGTGCCACTGGATCTGATGGCCACTTAGAGCTCACTGGCTAGCAGGGCCAACCCGCCCAGTTGTACCCTCATCCCTTAGTGCCACCGGATTGAGTCACAGCCATGTGCTCACCTCTGAAAAGGACCAGTGGGAGGGTTGGATGGGGGAGGGGTGTGCGAGAAACTGGGCTGGATTGCAGAGTCCAGTTCCAGATGGGGCAGCAGTTGTCATAACAGCGTGATCTAACCTTCCTCCCTTGCCCCAATAAAATGGGGATAAAAAAAAATCACCTGCCCCTCACAGGTATTGTGATGCATAATTAATGTTTGCAAAATACTTTGAGGTTCCTAGACCAAAGGCGCTGGGTATATGCAACATATCATTACTACATTACACTCCCACTTAACCAGTATGATTTCACAATTTGACCATTTTATGCTGATTACACCCACCTCTGTTTCCCTACTAGTAATGCACTGACCCCTTCCTCAAATTTCTGGACGCTTATCTTGGGCAAATTAACCAACTCAATATACTCTTAGAAGACAAGGCATAACAAAAATATTTTTTCTCTGTTTATTCAGTACACTGGTTAGTTAGTTGCCTAATAGGATAAAGTAATACTTTTCCTTGGCAATGTTAGTCTGTGCCCATGATCCCTTCCCCTCCCATCCATTTCCTCCTGGACCCTTATCAATACTTTATTAATTCTCTCTCTTTCATTCAATTTCAAACTCTTCTGTTTTGACTCCTTTTCTTACTTAACAACCATGTTCAGTTGTCCCAAAACCTCAAAAACAAAAGAACACCTTCATTCCTTACCCTATTGTCTCCTCAAAATAACTATTTCTTTTCTTCTTTTAGAAAGAATATAATTTGGCTTCTCTCCCCACCACTCTACTGAAACCTCTCTCTCCAAGGCCACTAATAACCAACAAACAGCCAAACCCAATGACCTTTTCTCATTCCTCATCCTCCTTAACCTCTCTTTCAATAGGTGACACAGTTGACCTGTTGACCACTGGCTCCTATTGTATTGACTCTGTATTGACATTGGTCTCTCTCGGTTCTTCTGCCTCATCTGCTCCTCATCTTTCACCTTTTCTGATTATAATAACTCATATTTACTTACACGAATAAGTGCCTTCTTTACAGCAACCCCATCATATAGGTAGGTGGCAAATATTACATTAAGGATAACCCAGGGATTCCATTGCTAGGCATGAACACCAAGGAAGGTCATTGACAAAAAAACGAAAAGCTACATGCACACATCAAAATATTTATAACAGTGTTTTTCCTTTGCAACAAAAAACTGGAAACAAAGTAGATGCCCTTTAGTTGGGAAATGACTAGTCAAATTGTGGTATATGAATGCAATGGCATGTTACTCTGCTGATACATGATGAATACAGACAAGCATGAAGAGACTTCGATGGACTGGTGCAAAGTGAAGACTTCAGAGCCAGAAAAAAATATATACATAATGACTGCAATAATATAAGTGAAAGAACAACCACAAATTAATCAAAACTGACTCCAAAGAAGAGATTAAAAAACAAAAAAGGATACTTCCCTCACCACACATTCCTTTGCAGAAGTTGGGATACATAGATGTGGAACATTGATGTAACATCAGATTTTTTTCATTGTGTTAATCAGTTTTGCAAGGTTTTTGTCTTTTCCCTTTAAAAAAAAATATGTGTTATAAGGGATAACTCTCTAGGGATAGTGGGATATAGGGACATGGGGGAAAGCCAGGTATTATAAAAGCATGAGATATTAATAAAAATCTATTTTTTTAAATAAATGGTCTTAAAGAATTACCTGAGGTACAGAAAGAGTCACATATTCACACAGCTAATAAATGTCAGGACCAGAACTTGAACCCAGATCTCCTGACTGCAAGTCTCCACTATGTCATATTATTAGTATTAATATTATTACTATTTTCTTCATCATCATCATTTTACACATGGACAGACTGAAGTTCAAGAAAGTTAACTGCCTCACCCACGCTCTTGTCTAGCTTTAAATCGATGTTCTTATCCTCCTCAAGGAGCATCTTCAGCCTTCTTTCTCCCTTGGCAAACTCATTCACTCCCACGGCTTCCTTTGTCACCTCTATTTGGATGAGTCCCGAATCTGCATCACCAGACCTAACCAAGCTCCAGTCCCAAATTTCAGACCACCGGCAATGTCTCTACCTAAACGTCCAGCCAATAGCACACTCTAATCATTTCACATCTTTCCGCAAAAAACCTGAACCTCATACTAATCCACCAATTTCCCCACCAGTTGGATGTCAGTCACCCTGGTTTCCATATCTATTATTGCTCCTTCTCCCTCAGCCCCTACAATCTACCATTTTCATACTTCAGCATTACTTCTCCAAATTCTGCTCTCCTTTCAGCTAACATTGCCAGTACCTCATTCAGACTCTAATTACCTTTCACCTAAACTACTGAAATACTTTAAAAAAATTTTTTTTTCAATTAACAAGCATTTATTTTCTGTACCTCCACCTCCTGAGGAGAAAAAAAAAAAATCTTACATGACAGTACTACCTAAATTAATTTATTTAGTCCCATACAGTCAAATTGCCAAAGGATTACTTTGTAGAACAAGAAAAAATAATGATGAAATTTTATCTGGAGGAATGAGAGGTCAAGAATTTCACCTAGAAGATGAAATAAACTCAACTAACTTTCTTCTTTTGGTCTTCCTCTGCTCAGTTTTATCCAATACTTCACAACCAAAATAATATTCCTAATGTGTAGTTCTGATGACATCCCTCCTGTTCTCAAAACCTTTGAGGGCACCCCATTATTTACAAAATAATACAAACTCCTTAGCCTGATGCTTAAGGTCTTCTATAATTTAGCTCTATACCTTCCCAAGCTCGTTCTGTGATATAACCCTTTTCATAAACAACCTTCCAGCCAAAATGAACTAGTGATCATGATTCTATAGTTCACTATATTGTTTCCCTATATGGAGTAGGTACTGCCCACATCTCTCTCTACCTATTGAAATCCTTCTCTTCCTTTAATGTGTATTTCAAGTGACACCTCCTCCATGACCCTTATCCCACAAGGTAGAAGTAATTCCTCCAAACAAAGCAAATGCCATCAATTGGGGAATGACTCTAGTGATACATGAATGTAACAAATGGAATAGTTACAGAAAAGACTGATAAGATTCATATGAACTGATGTATAGAGAAGTAAGCACAACCAAGGAAACAATAAACATGTTAACAGCAACATAAATGAAAGAACCAGACAGCTAGGTGGCACACTGGATAAAGCACTGGGCCTGGAGTCAGGAAAATGTCTTCTTGAGTTCAAATTTGGCCTCAGATACTTACTAACTGTGTGACCCTGAGCAAGTCACTTAACCCTGTATGCCTCAGTTTCCTCATCTATAAAACGAACTAGAAAAGGAAATGGCAAACCACTTCAGCCTCTTTGCCAAGAAAACATCAAATGGGATCAGGAAGAGTCGATATGAATGAACAAAATGAAAGGTCAGCCAATAAGCATTTTTTAAACACTATGTTCCAGGACCTGGGGATTCAAAAAAAGCAAAAAACAGTCCTTGTCCCTAAAGATGGTCAAGCAATAAACATTTATTAAGCACCAACAAGTGCCAAAGTCTGTGCTAAGTGCTGGGATTAAAAATAACAAAGACAGTCTCTACCCTCAAGGATTTTACAATCTAATGGGAGAAGGCATCCATGAAAGAAAACTGAAAAGCAGGATGGGAGGAAGGGTGGGAAAGAAGGTTTGACTGGTGGATTCAAGAAGCCAAGGAGTGAAGCTGGTAGGAAATGGAAAGTAAAATGGAAACTTTGGGAAGAGGAGTTCTTTACTCCACCCTCCTGCTCTCCAATCAGAGAAACAGAGAATACTGAAGGTACTTGAAAAGGTGTGAATACCAAAACTGATGTAATTTCCTAGGATGGTGAGTTTACTGGTGAAGAGGTTTCCTGGGATCATGATGACAGGCAAACAAATACAAACAAACAAGCTATATACAAGATAACTAGGAAATAATCAATAGAGAGTAGGCACTAGAATTAAGAAGGGTTGGGAAAGCCTTCCTGTAGAAGGTGGGATTTTATTTGGGACTTAAAGGAAACCTATAGGAGCAGAGGAGAGAGGAGCATTCCAGGCGTGGGAGTCAACCAGAGAAAATGTCTGGAAGCCAAGTGATGGAAAATCTTATTTGGGGAACAGCAAGGAACAGCATCACTGAAGAATACCTAGTGGGGTGTAATGTGTAAGAAGACTAGAAAAGTAATTGGGAAGTGTTAAATTATATAGAGCTTTGAACTCCAGAAAATTTTGTATTTGATCTTGGAGGCAATAGGAAGCTACTGGAGTTTAGGGGATGATATGGTTGGACCTTCGCTTTAGAAAAATCATTTTACTGACTGAAAGGAGAATGAATCAGAGTGGGGAGGGACTTGAGGCAGGTAGACCCACCAGTGGG